GCTGTCAGATGTCCCTGGTGCCTGCTATGCACTTTTTTTTTGAGACAGTCTCCCTCCATCACCCAGGCTGGAGTGGCGCGATCTCGGCTCACTGCAACCTCCGCCTCCCGGGTTCAAGTGATTCTCCTGCCTCAGCCTCCCCAGTAGCTGGGATTACAGGCATGCACCACCATGCACAGCTAATTTTTGTATTTTTAGTAGAGATGGGGTTTCACCACGTTGGCCAGGCTGGTCACGAACTCCTGGCCCCAAATGACCCGCCTGCCTCAGCCTCCCAAAGTGTTGGGATTATAGGCGTGAGCCACAGTAGGTGGCCCATTTTGTACTTTTTAATTGACAAAAATTACATGTATTAGTCATGTACATGTTGTTTCAAAATATGTATACATCGTGGAATAACTAAATCGAGCTAATTAACATATGCATTACCGAACATACTTCTTTTGTGGTAAGAACACAAAACCTCTCAATAATTTCCAAGAGCATAAGTACATTGTTATTTACTATAATCACCATGTAGTGTAATAGATCTAGTGAACTTTTTCCTCCTAACGGAAATTTTGTACACTTTGACCAACATCTTCCCAACTGAGGCAGACAGATCACTTGAGCTCAGCAGTTCAAGACCAGCCTGGCCGACCATGGCTCTACCAAAAATACAAAAATACAGGTGGTGGGTGGCTGTAATCCCAATCCAGCTACTCAGGAGGCTGAGGCAGGAGAATCATTTGAACCGGGGTGGCAGAGGTTGCAATGAGCTGAGATTGCAGCACTGCACTCCAGCCTGGGCCACAGAGCAAGACTCCATCTAAAAAAAACAAAAGCTAATAAAAAAAAAAAAAAAAACCTAGCACACCATAGGCATTCCATGAATGAATGCATGAATGAAGAATGAATGACCAACACAGGCCCTTCCTCTGCACTGGAATATGACTTCACATGAGCAGAAGCAGCTCTTGTTCATCTCTGTATTCCCACCACTCCGGTGCCAGTACTGAACTTTGCAGTCAGGATGCTTGGACCAAATCCTGACCCTGCTACTTATTATAATAGTTGTAGGGCCCAGGCCATGGTTCCTTCTCCGAACCTGTTTGTCTGTAAAATGGGGCCTTGGTAGCCTGGCACAGTAGCTCATGCGTATAATCCCAGCACTTTGGGAGGCTAAGGCAGGAGAATCACTTGAACCCAGGAGTCGGAGTTTACAGTGAGCTGACATCATGCCACTGCACTCCAGCCTGGGCAATAGAGCAAGACTCTGTCTCAAAAAAAAAAAAAAAAAAAAATGGAGCATTGGTGATACTGTATAATGTATAAGAATACATTCCCCAGCCAGATATGGTAGCTCACGTTTGTAATCCCAGTACTTTGGGAGGCCAAAGTGGGTGGATCATGAGGTCAGGAGTTCGAGACCAGCCTGTCCAATATATGGTGAAATCCCGTTTCTACTAAAAACTACAAAAATTAGCCTGGCGTGGTGGCACACACCTGTAGTTCCAGCTACTCAGGGGGCTGAGGCAGGAGAATTGCTTGAACCTGGGAGGTAGAGGTTGCAGTGAGCCAAGATACTGCCACTGCACTCCAGCCTGGACAACAGAGTAAGACTGTCTAAAAAAAAAAAAAATTCCCCAAAGAGAGAGCAACAAATGAAATGATGCTTATAAAGTGCTGAGCCCGACGTCTGGCATGTGGTAAATCCTCGGACAAGACATGGTGGCCGTTATTAACATGAGAATAGGTATGTGCCCATCAATATCACATGGTCTTCACCAGCTTTCTGACAAGGAGAGTCAGAGGCAATATAAATACCAGAGGTTTATGTGTGTCATCACTCATCAAACAAATTACGCAGCATGCTAAGCCAGTGACTGACTGTAAGGTCATCCAAACCCAGGATGCACAGGTTCAGTTTTGAGGCAGCCAGGCTGACTTCTGACTTTCCTCACCCTCTGCTTCCAGAAGCACCCAGATGGCACCTCCCTTATCTTTTCTTTCCCTGTCACTGTGCCAGGAAAAAAAAAAAAAAAAGAGCATACTGGGAAGGGGGAGCAGTACTGAGGGCTGTGTATTTTCGCTTCTCACAGAGTTCTCAAAAGAGGAGCTCTGTAAGAAAGGCCCCAGGACTTACTGAGAAACTGCCTTATGATGCCACACCATCACGAACGAAACGGTCCTTACGCCAGCACAAAGCGGGCGGACAAGTGGGCTGTGATGCCAGGATCCAACGTTTCCAGGCATTTCTGCATAGTGCAGCTATGCAGAAGCCCCATTCTTCTTGTGACAAGGGGGAAACTTTTTTTTTTTTTTTTTTTTTTT